ACCCCATGCCGCGACTCGAACAAAGCTTTGCCCTCTTCTGATCGCCAAGGGTTCAAGCCTTGTCTGGCTCAGCGGTGAATAGCTGGCGATATCTAAGCTGCATCCTTGCTAATTGCTAGCTGGCATGTTTGCTCCCGGCTACTCAGTTTCCTGCTGGCCAGTTGGCTACTCCTACCCCTCCCCTCTTCTTTCCGACCTAACCCTCTATTCGGACGAAATGACAGGGTGGCCCGAAGGGCATATGTCGCCAAGGTGTTGTTGCCTATGGTGGCAATGACATGTATGGAGAAAGGCAGGTGTGAAACGAGATGATGCAAATGATGAAACTAATGATCAGGGTGACAAGGGACAATTACAAGATTTCATGGTGCATAGTGAAAAATGATGATAACATGATAACATGGTGACAAGGGCACGCTCATGATTGTGTGATGCAGGCGACGATGACATGCGATGGAGGTGCGATGCCAATGCTGCACTTCTTGAGAGGTTGCTGGAAGCTTTCAAAACCCAAAAGGCGCACCCTATGTTCACTCTGATTTTGAGCTCTGAGCCCATGATGTCAACATAGCGTGCCAAATTAAATTAGAGCACTCTTCCTTTTGGAGAGCATTTTTCCCAGCTTCCGAGCAGTTTTAACTGCATTCCAATCTTCAGCTCATGGCCAAGTGCAGGTTTCACCAGTTCTTGAAACGCACCTTCACTATCACTGTCAGACCACTTCCAGACTTGACCAGCTGTTGAAACACGCCGCTTCCCCGCCGAAAAAGGAAAAGCACCTCACCACCGAGAAGTTTACCCGCATCGCTTCACAACCGGTCGAAACGTCTATCAGTGGAGATGCAAGAGTAGATACAGTTCAAACCAGTTTCACCATCACGCCACTTGCAGACTCACCAGCTTTAGAAGCACATGAACATGGAAATGAAACACCGTGAAGAAAAACAAAGAGATGATCAAAGAGTGCTGAAAGATGGCAAGGAAAATGAAACGCAACAAAAAAGGCAATAAGATTCCCAAGGAACATGACAGGAGATTGAAGGCTGGTCAGTGGAGGATTCTGCGAGCCTGCATGCTACAGTATCTTCCAAGCACAGGCCCAAGCAGACTCAAAACGCGCCACCGTGCGCAGGTTTCGCAAATCACCGTGCACCCGACACGCTCTGAGGCTGCAACTATCCATTCCACTGGCATCCTCACAAGCGTAAGAACCCCGACAAGTTTTCCACAAGAATGTTCCACAAGCATTTGATTGTACAGCTGAATCCTCCGCAGGATTCAATGCAAGGCTTGAAATGTCCAGGCAAGCGAGGTTGCATCTCACATATGTCATCGGCAAACTGCAAACTTGTGAAAATTCGCTCACAAACGGCCTGTTTCAGCTATTGATTCATGTGCTCTGACTTCAACTCTGTTCTTTTGCATTTGTGCTACACATTTTCACAAATGGCTCACAAGTCCTGGCGCAATGCTCTGGCATCGTCTAGCGCTCCAGGCAACAGGCGCTGCAGGTGATAGCAAGCAGGAACGCTTCCTCGAAAAGCAGCGGTGCAATTGTGATTTGAGCAAGGCTTGAGCTTGAGGAAAAATTATGAAAAATGTTTTACATGTTTCTTCTTTTCACCATTTAAAATTGTGTGTTTGGGGTAGGCTACCGGGCAGGCCGTGGGAAGCTACAGCTAGTTTACACACAAGGCCTTGGAAGCTACTAGGTGACAGGGGACGCAAAAAGGCGGGAGGAATTTCCATCAAGAATGATAGAAGAGGTAGAATACGATTTGATCCTCTCTCTGAGAAAAGGTAGAGGCTTCCTTGAAGAACCGGTGTACGAAACAGCTCCATCTCAGGAAGCCACTGATAGCTTTCCCACAAACACTGCTGAGATCCTGGGAATGAAAGTATAACATGCAAATTGTATTTGCCAATTCACTTCTCGCCATTTGAGCCCTTGCACAGCTTTGCACAAACAGATCCGCAAATCACGTCCTGCCAATCAGCTGTACGGAGGTGATAGATCTTTGCTATCATCATCACCATGCGAAGCGACAAGGTGGAGGCGGCAGCCAGGTCCGCATCAACGTCGACATCGATCTCTTCCTGTCGTTTCTCTCATGCTTTCTTTCTCTCTCTCTCTCTCTCTCTTGTGTGTTAGCTTCCATCATGTGTCATCATGTGTTCTCTCTGCATTTTTGCTGCTGCTTCCCAATACTTGTGAACTACTGCAATGCCACATATGTTGCAGTACTTCTTAGGGAATGCACAAGCCATGGCGGCCAGCGAAGGTCTCGCTTAACAATTGCAGTTGCATTGGATGGCGTATGTTGATCAATGCAGTAGAAGCATCATCATATACAGGGGATCAGTGTGTGTGTGGCACACATGATGCAAAGCCAACAACAGTTAAGGTTCTTTCATGTTGTCCTGGCTGCCTGTCGCAAAGAAAACGCTACATCACGTGTGGTGAATTTGGTCGGGCTGGCAAACCTGAAAGGGGGTGCACTCACTGACTGGCAAACGGTGTCTCAACCTCTTCATGTCCAACACTCTCTTGCTGCATGTCCGATACTTGAGCGCAGCAAATGCAGGCCCCGTGATTTATCCAGAATGATCTACCCACAACTTAAGCAAGGTCCCACCACACAATCCACATTTGTTGCGGCGGCATTGTTCACCAGCCTCACTCAAGATCTTCCGGAACCCCTGACAAAGTCATAGTCAAAACAGAGCTGTTTCAAAGAGCGACCATGCACATGGTGAACACTCAACCTATTAGCGATGGCCTCCAACCTAATAGCGATGGCCTCAGTAGGTATGCGTTTCAACTTGGGCCGTTGGGGCCGCTTGGGCCTCGTGGTCGAACTCTTTGACAAGGAATCGCCCAAGGAAATCTTGCACATTGAGAAGCGCATCACTGCAATTGCGCACGCCTGGGTTGGCCAATGGGACTCCAAATCCGATGAGGCACCATGCGATCCAACCACTCCCCTTCAGCAAGTAGACCAAAGGAAGAACGAAAAGGTCTGCATTTGAGGCGCCATAAGCATTTTCGAACCTGAGGAGGGCAATGCTACAAAACCATGAGGTAACGCTGTCAAGATCTGTCACGTGTCAAATCACAACCAATTAGGCAATGCACACATCCAAAAGCAGTTGGTTCCGCTCATCTGTACAGAGTTGCGCCCGAAGTGTCGTCCATTCTTCACCTCAACTGTTCGCAGCAGACTGCAAACCTCAAGAGCGATGGCCTCCAACCTACTAGCGTCCTTGCTCCTAGTAGTAAGGCCAGGAGCCCCTAGTAGCGTCCTTGCTCCTAATAGCAATAGCCTCCAACCTACTAGCGTTGGACCTGCATGTTTGGCCTGCCACGATGTTGAAAACGTGTTGGTGCACGTGTTGGCAGTCGACCGACCGAACAAGCATGAAAGCCCGTAGACCGCATTCCATTGAAAACGATGTTAAGGATGCAAACAAAATGTTACAGTAATCTACAAGGACGTATCCCGGATGTTGATCGCTGGCAAAGCGGTACGTGCTGCCTGTGGCGGCGTCCGCTTGCCACTGATGAGGCCAAGCATAGCACTGTTGGATTCTAGAATGGAAATACTTAACAATCTCAACTACTCGCCGAGCACCGTTCCTTAGCATCTTAAGCCTAAACTCGGCAGTGCCAGAAGGAGGCCATTCATTGAGCAAATGACAGGCTGCTTGTGGATGTACAGCACGCAGGTCCAGTGCTTCGCCGAAAAGAGCCCCCACAAGAGCTGAACTCGGCTATCATTGTCGACCAGACCATACTCCAAACTGTCTGTCGCCGGTGACCTGACCACTGGTGATCCATGATGTGTCATGATGCAAAGCCACTGTCAGCGTGTAGCAAGAGGCGCGGTCGTGTGATTGGTTCCACTGCCGCCTTCATGGCGCAATCAGCGGTCGCGGGCACATAGCTGATCAACGTATGCATCTGGCGAAAGTCCATCTTGCAATTTACCCGCCCGAATCCACTACAAGCCTCAAATCCGGCCGAGCCAGAAAGGGATACGAGGCAATGTTCCTTTGCAAGACAGATCTAGATCCGCCATGTTCGACTCCGGAGCGCTGACCTTCCCGAGATCCTTGGTGGTCTCACTCAGAAACCGATGCCACTCTGAAGAAACTTCAGGATCAAGCGTTACGCCGTTACGCGGAGCTTCATCTCATCGCAGAACTGTGATGGCTGCGCCTCACTTTGAGCTCTGAGCGTCATGTCGTAAACGACGATGAGGGAAGCGTCGGTGCGTTCATCCACCGCTCCCCTTTAAAGGTTGGAAGGATTCGCTTGCACGCCAGGCAACAACGATTTCACCAGTTTCACGGCCCAACGCATGGCCCACGCGTCGTTTCCATTCTTAGAACCAGAGTTCCAAAGGCAAGAATGTCCCGAGTTCTTCTCTCCAATTTGCACTGAAGCCACCCTCACTTGCGCGCAAAATGCACGCGATACGCATTTCGTGACGCTCGACCCCCGCAAGAACACGCTTCTTCGCAGCTCTCATGCACGCACCTCTATTTAGGGCCAGGGGTTGCTGTTGAGTCGTGCTTCATCTTCGTTCTGCCAGAAACCCATTGTCGGGAAGCGTAAAGGCTGGCGGAAAATTGCATATAGAGTGCGCTTCTCGTGGCGTTTTGACATGCAAAGTCAAGTTGATTTGCGTCTCTCCCTCTCCACGCAAAACGAAAAGACTTGATTCTTGCTAACGCGCCGTCACTTGTTCCAGCCAAGTCACTTTCTGCTTGCTGCGCTCGGATTGCAATCTCCGGCTGCATGCCAAAGCAATGGCCGATCTAAACTAGGGCAACTGAGGCTTGGTTGTTTGGCATCAAACCTATTAGCTATGATGAATTCTGTTTCAGTCTGTTTGTACGGCGCACGTTGCCAAACTGGGCCACAACATTGCAGCATCAGCATCCGTTCCTATCCAGTAGCTGTGACTTGCTCAGCTGCAACTTGCTGAGATCCACGCGAGCAACATAAAAAAGGGCACATCACGCCTGACTAGCACTGCTCGCCCGCGCTCGCGCAATACCACATGACATGTTTCTTTGAAGATTCTCGATCCCTTGGTGAGGCCCTAACTTCCCAGCCCTAAGGCCAAATGACCCCAGCAACCAAAATCCCAAAATATTAACAAATATGGACCTAATTGCAATGGCCTCCAACCTACACATCTGGTAGAAAAACAAATGACGCGCAGTTTCCTCTTTTTCGATTGTTTTGTGTACACGTCGGCATGCGCTGGTTGTATTCTGCGTTCGCCCTGCCGATAAGAAATTCTCCGAGCCGCAACAGGGGCTAACATGATATTCCTTCCATTCCCTTCCTCTGGCCCTTCTTACCTCTCTTGCCCTTTCTCTGCAAACACAGGCCAGTTCTGCCAGCTCCATCCAGTAGGCTGTGGATTCCATTCATAGATCACGAAAGCCTGCTCGATGTTCTTTTGGTTGAAGGCCGTTGCTATTTGCACTTGCAAGAGTACAGTAGATGCAGCGGGCATGCTCTGCCTTCGTTGATGTCCCGCACATGTTCAGCAAGGCCCTTGACACCAAGGCACAAACAGATGTGCCGGCGAAGGCCCGGAAGGTGACCTCCAAATGCGGTGAATGACCCTAAAAAGCGAGGAAATAGAACTTTAAGTGCCGACTGATTCGACTAGTAAGAGGAAGATTAAGGCAGGTACTGTTAAAATTAGAGACTGTCAACTATGATTGTGACCGTAAGGTCCAAGTCCAATGTGATTAATGGCTTGTGATGCAAGGTGCATCTACTGTACTCTGGCATGCTGAGCAATGCTCCGACCTCCACTGGCCAAGACGAAGACGTGATTTCTTCGAACATATACACCTCGCCATCCAAGTGATGTTGTTGCATCTTTGGGTTCAGCACACGGTCAACTGTTAGAAGCAAATGCACTGCGAAACTTAAGCAATAATGTATATATTCCTTTTTGTTGCTCCTGTTCTTCCTCCAATTTAGGCTCTGGAGGAGACAGGCGAGCTTTCATGCAGGCTTGGATAGGACTGGATAGGACTCAGGGAAACGGTCCACCGCAAAACAAGAAAAAACCCTTGCTGTTCGTAGGAATAGTCAGTCCAAAACCTGGCTGTCGTTGAACAGTCACTTCACACCAACGCATGTTAAACTGCATTGGCTTAGGCCCACGCAATGCCACCGATGGGAGAGTCAAACAGCATTGCCTGCATTTTTGCGAAGACAAACACTTCAAGATTCAGGGGAAAGGCCATACAGTACGGAATGAAAAACGGAAATGGATATATATATATATCAAAACCAAGAACAATTGCAAACCTCTTCTGCAGGTTTCTGCTGACAAGGGCCCCCCGCCATACCACAAGCCCCGCCAACTGTGCACACAATCCGTTTCGCATGCTCAAAACGATCCTGCCAGGGGCACCAAATGAAGCACCAAAAGGTGTCCCAAATGCAAAGGGCCAAATAAGTTGAATGTCCCAAGTAGCTTCTTGTTGCTAGTAGCATCCTTGCTCCTAGTAGTACGGCCGGGAGCCCCTAGTAGCTTCTTGTTACTACTATAACTGTCTGAAGCCTCATCGATCATCGTGGCGGCAGACGTGGCAGAACCGGGCGCATCAATATCCACCCACTGACCTGGGTTGCAGGCAGCATGTTGGGAAGATCTGTCGAAAAATCCTTATGATGTTTGGGAAGGGGAAATAATCACCAAGGGCCATGCCGCACATGGTTTCCGGATACAGCCAAGCTTCGGACGAACAAATGGCAATGCAGCCACGTGCGTGATAAGGTAAGCTAGGTTGCTGCCCATCGTGACCTGCCGTGATTGGCTTCTGCGCCCAAATGTTTTCCCTAGTAGCTTCCTTGCTCCTAGTCTACTAGCAGCATCCTTGCTCCTAGTAGCGATGCCCTTTGCTCCTAGTAGCTTCTTGCTCCTAGTAGTAGGGTCAGGAGCCCCTAGTAGTAGCGTCCTTGTTCCTCGTCTCAAGTCGCACTTGCACACTGAGTGCGTACCGTGGGCCCTTCACGACCAACAGGATAGCCGGTGACCTCTGATTGAAACGCATCGACATCGTGAGCCAAAAAAAAATATGCTATTAGGTTGGAGGCCACCGCTACTAGGCTGGAGGCCATTGCTCTTAGGGAAACCGCTCAAGGGAGTGAAATGAAGTGTCGGGTCAAAACCGAGACGATTGAGTTCTGAATGAGCCGAGATTTGGCCATCGGATCGCGTCACACGAGATGAGATTGCGCAATGAACTGACTTGGGGAGGTGGGAAGGGCGAAGCGCAACGACGTGCAAATCTCGAACATCTGAACACCTAGTGAAATTCTTGCACAATTAGCCTCTGGCAACTCTGGTGCAGAGTTTCTGGTGCCGGTGCCAATTTGGTCAACCGCTCAACATGCACGCGGTCCACAAATGGTCGGGTCCCCATCAGTAGCCAGCCCAGCAGCCTCCTGTGCTTACAGAGCAGCACAACGCAGACCAAAATGTACCCAGGGGGTCCCTGCGTAAGAAAAAATGACTGGGTAATGTGTCGTGCATGTATTTTGAGACTGGCAGCTCCCAAATAGCTAAATGATTATCAAATTGTGTTCATTGACAAAGGCAGGGCCAGGAGAATGATCATTGATCCTGCATGTCCTCCCTCTATGTTATGGAGTGGGATGTGCGAAATTCCCAGCGAGATGGGATGCCCACCATGCTCAGTTCTCGAAATCACTGGGAGGGTATTCTCTGCAAACAATTTTTCCGCACCTCTGCGGAAAGCACGAGAGCACGCGTGCCGTTTCGTGTCTACGAGAGCCGTGCCGCGCTCACCTTTGGCTTGCACGCGGTGCCGGGAGTGGGCACAAGTTGGTGTCGCATGTGGTGAGTGGAACTCGGTGTGACAGGGCCGAATGTGAAAGGCAAAAAAAGAAGTCTCGGACAAAATGACCTGTTTAGTAATTGCATAGCTCACACTGCTCAGCCACTGACATTAGCCAACATAGTTGCGATGGCGCGTCCAATTAGGTTCTGCAGGGTGAAGAGCTCAGGGATCTCGTTCCTGAGACCAGGAACAACAGCGAAGCAAGGAGGACACAGCGTCCAAATCAAAGCACCAAAATAGAGTCCTTAGATTCTTAGATGTCCTTAGTAAATCCTTGGATGTGTTAAAGGGTTAAGTCTCAAAACTACATAGTATTGCCACTTTTTACTAAATGGCAACTACTCAAGTCACTCAAAGCCGGTTCATGTTGGTGTCTGCTAGCCAAGTCAAAGCACGTCAAAGAACAATTTGACAAAATTAAACCTAAACATCCAAATATATATATATATATATGCTTAAAACTGGAGCTGTAAAAACTAGTGATGTCGTGCGTTGTTGCTGTTGCCATAAGCTATCGCTTACCAGCCGTCTACTAGTGGCCTTCTAACGTCCTGGAACATGCTCGATAGCCTCTAGCATGCAATTATGGAGGGGCTCCGGGGGTGGTGGAGTGTTTCACAAGTATTCGCCAAGCCGGTGTCGTAATCAACACGAAGCTACTGCAGGAAAAGGACGCATGCCAGAACCCTTGCTGCTCAAAATGGTTCCTAGGTTTTGATGGACAGTTGCCTTTCAACATGCAATTTAATTTACGGAGAGGCGTGTTTCGGGGTACTAACTAAGGAGAAGGAAATGATTGAATTCATTACCGACACATGTGACACGGGAGAAAGGATAGCCATGCGCATGAACGTGCAAATACACAAGATTGTCGGAGGCAGGATTGCTAAGTTTGCTAAGCAACCTTTCTTTGCGAAACGGTGCTACCCAGCAAGAAAACGAGAAAACCAAGAAAACAACAACCTGCTACTGTCTCTAAACTGTTGCTGTCTCCACAGTCTTCGCTTGTTCGGCGCTTTCATGTTCAAGAATCTATTCAAACCGGGGGCAAGTTCCATATCAAAACAAAAGGATACAAAAGTTTACTTAACTACCATTCAATAGAAATGCCAGAAATGAGTAGCATTGCTAGAATCCAATTACGATTGTGTTTGCCTTTGGTCTAACTCCTTGATTCTCGGTTGACTCTCTAAAGCCTTCAAGAACATGTCTGCAAATGGATGGACAATTTTGACATTGACAAAAACTATCTTAGCAAAAGGCGACATAGAGACTTGGAGGGCATTGTTGGAAAAGGGAAAGCATACATACATGGAATACATCAGAAGAGAAAAAGAAACAAAAAAAGACAGGATCAATAACTTCGAAACTCAATTCGTTTGTGCAAGCAACAAAATTGGTTGTCTAAAGTGCTTCTACGTGGACTTGGAACTGCGAATTTGTCTATCAATAAGTGACATGGCGTGCTTGCTGAATGAAACTCCTAAAACGAATGTCTTTTATCAAAAGGGTGCTTGGTATGAAAAAAGCAGGACACGTCTAATGAGTAAGTTTGGATTTGTGATCTGTCTATCACGTGGTATCTGGCAGTGGTTGACAATCCAGAATTGGAAGCAACATGTCTTGATGCTACGTGTTAAAAATAGCATCCAAAACCGTCACGAAACCATTGTGTGTGTCTAGATATGAATGGAGAGGAGGGGTTCTGGTAGGTGCTGAGTTTCTATGTATACATATATTGAAGGTCACTCTTCTCTCCCCAAAAGATCCACCAATATTCGCGTAGTTTGTTCCATAAAACGCGTAAACCTAAAATTGCGCCCTGAGAACAACCAAAAATTGCGTATGTTTGATCCGATGCTCGCCGATGTGTCATCGTTCAGAAAACTGAGAAAACATGAAAGCTAATAATAAGTTTTGGTTGCGCCCGGAGAAAAATGCTAAAATACTCGTGCAACTTGATTGTAGCAATTACTAATGCTGGTCGCGGAAAAGGTTAGATTTAAGAATGCACAACAAATAGCATCTGCCAATAGACATGCGTTGCTTTGATCACTATACTTGTTGACCAACGAACCTGCTTTTCAACTCCTAATGGTTGGTAGTTTGCAAAAATCGGACAACCTTAATTTTGGCAGCGCCACGCCCTTGAAAGTTGTCGATTACATTCGGAGTTTATCTTGAGTCTTGGCGAAGGAGAGAAGAATCAAAAAATTGTCCTAAAAAGGGACGAAACAAGAAGGATTGATAAAGGAAGGCAAGGCCCATTGAAAGGGTGGAAACAATTGTCAGTCTTTGTTTACTTTCGAAAAGTTGTGTTTTTCTGCACTTTTTAACCACAAAAGACTCTGCTGTGTGTCTTGCGTACCGTGCTCTCACAAGGCCACCCAAGGCCAAGAGCCTCAGAAATTTGCATTCCCTAAGGCCAAGGCCCATTGAGAAAACCTTTGTTCTCAGGTGCCCCAGAACCACCGGCTGCAGGTGCACAGGTGTATATGAAGATGGTGCAGCCTTATTCCGAAATCAACTGGATTTTCGTGACATTCTTGAGCAGCTAGCTATGCTACCAACCTCTTCACAGCCTACCTCCTGAAAAAAGAAGCTCAGTTTAGTAAGCTGACGGGTAGCTACTCGGACTAGGTCTCTTCGAGGAAGCTACCCGCTTCGGGCTATGACGTCCGAGATAACATATAGATTGAGCACTCCTGTCTCTTGTCTTTCTACCACATTCAATGCATTCATAATTGTTTGTGCGTTTTCGGTTGTCGATATGTCTTACTCAATCTCTCAATCCCGTCACCGGACTTGGCCCTCAACAAAGTGCTATGCAAGAGCAAAGCATCGTGAACCTGAGGATGAACGGTCATGCTGCGTGCCCACGTCTTTGCAAACAGTGCTCAGCAGAATTTCCAACCTCGTCGCAATTACAACCCCTTCTTTGCTGCCTACTGCTCAGTGAGAGACCCCAAGATCGCGAACCAAACGCCAAGGTGGTCGACCATAAGCTGAACAACGGAAGGATGTTGAGCATTGAACCGATTGAATGATCAGCACGATAAGGTCAGAAGGATGCAACAGCGAGCAATGCAGAAGAACAAAGATTAAGCTGAAACAATTCCACCCTAAGAGCGATGGCCTCCTACGTAGTAGCGATTTCCTCCACCCCTAGCAGCGATGGCCTCCAAACCTCATATATGTGTATATAGGTTATGGCCTCCACCCTAGTAGCTATACAAAAACAAGGTCTGCTCGTCTACTCCTGGCCTGCAAGGTGCTGAACTTCCACGACACCGCGAAGGAAATGATCCAAATCGTGAAAAAATTGATCACGGCCATTGTGACGGCAGTGACAAGGGTCACGCCCCACCTCAACTGGAACAAGGACGCCTACTAGGAACGCATCGCTACTAGGAACAAGGACGCTACTAGGCGCTCCTGGCATCGCTACTAGTAACAAGAAGCTGCAAGTGAGTGAAAAAGTTGCATAAAGCAGGTTGAGCACCGAGGTGTCAGCATGACGACAAAAGGAAGTTTGTGGGTCTGCGGGCCGCTCGTCCTCAGCGAACAAAGGCAATAGGTTGCTCACGTTGAATTGGTTCACTGGGCATGCAGCTTGATTCTCCGCAATCCCCGCATTGGAGTGCCTTGAGTGAACACATGCATGGCACCGCGAAAGCGCACCAAGGGCCCTACAACAGCTGGCAAATGCAAAGCCAGTGAGATAAAAGTTGCACTGCATTGAATATGCTTGCCCCGTTTGCCCCCTTCCTTCTTGGGTTTGCAGGGGTTTCTGATCGAAAACTGTGTTGTGACAGAGCAGCACATCTGCACCAAAGGTTTTCCAGCACCTTCTTCTCCCAGCATCAAATGCTGCTGCACCAAAACCCTCAATAACTATGAAAGAAATGTAGGAAACAGGTAACCATGAACTAACACAACATGGGGCATACTCAAACTGCTCTGCTCGTCTCGATTCCTTATCGTGTCTCACCTCCTCAGTTGGGAGTTGGTGTTTGCAACTTACTTGGCTTGCAGAATGACCTTGCGACGAATGTTTGCGCACACTCCCGCAATGGCTTGGGGCTACGGGGGGCAAGGGGGTCAACCGGACAGCCTCACATGAAGCAAACACATCGGGCAATTCAAGGTCCCCAGCGTGCACAATATAGGGCAACACCACAGCGACAGGAAACGACCCGCATGTTCTACACTTCCTCCTGCCTCATTTCCACAGAGCAATGATTCCTCAGAGCGATGGCCTCCAACCCCCTTGTCTGCACGTCCTTTCTGCCTCATTGTCTGTTTTCTCCACAATTGTACTCCGCTTAAATCCCATGCATTGACCGAATGTATATACTGTACCCACATGCATACGCGTCCTAGGCCCATGATATCCCATGACTGAACAACCATAATGCCACTTAGATGGTCTAGCCAGGGGATCACGAACGAACACCGGCTCATCAGCGCCTACGTTAAAAGTTGACGCACGGTACACCCCCAAAAACCGTTGCGGCGACGCATCGGCTTTGAGATAGGCTGAGGAAAAAACAAACGTTTGCAACCCCCTGGACGGGACGCAGCTTGATACGAGTTTGGCAAGCCATGTATGATATATAATGTCACCTGCATGGTCCAGCCCAAGTCCGTCTTTCCTCTTCTCTCCTCTTCCCTTTCCATGTTTTATTCCTTTTCTCTGCTCGTCCCGCCTTTCCTTTTGGTGCCCTGCTGTTTGGGCCAGCCCAACCGTAACCATTCCCGTCAAACACTACCTGCTATCCCTGTCCTACCTCCTTCAATATTGACACCGCACCAGCAGCATCACTTTAGGTGACATCATAACATCAGATCTGACTGACTGCCCTTCATCCCCATCATTTAGGATCCTCCATCCAGTGCAAGAACGGCTGCCAGCCAACGAAATCTCAATTCGATAACTAGCTGTCCGATGCCTTCAGACACGCCTGCACCCCCCACACCCCCATTACTCCATCCATTTGTGCTATGAACTCCAGCTCTTGCAAGCGTGCAAAATACCTTGTTGCAGCACAAGGACCTGATCCAGGCTTGCGTGGGGTGCTACTTTTTGCCAGCCCAAGGGCCACCAAGGTGTCCTGGCAGGAACCAAGTTGAGCAAAGTATCCAAAACAAATAAGACGTGTCAAACAAAGGGTTTGAAGGTTGTCCTTTCCCTCTGAGTATTTCCTTTCGTTCTTTAATGCCTTGTTCCTCTTCGAAGTCCAATAGGCCGTCCTGAAAGAAACCTCCGTCATTGAGCCCACGAGCTGTGTGCAACGTCATGGCATTGTGTGAAACAACAAAGTGGCCTAGGATAATGATAATGTCATTGAGGCTGAATCTGTTGGTCACAGGCTCTGACCACCCTTGTCGCGCAAAACAAAAAAATCATAAAACTGGAAAAAACAAGTTACCTGTTTAAAAGATTAGACACATGGCATGAACCCGGTGCGTGGCACCACCTTCCTGTTCTGCTCGGTGACCGGCACCACCGTTGCTGCGCAATGCTGTGCAACTGTTACGGTTTGCAGCTGGGAGCCACATCGTCAAGGTGCACCTTTATCACAAGCAAACACCAACATCAAGCAACGCTCACCCTGGGTGAAATCATTGTTTTTGCAGCACAGTGATCCCGGAGTGTCCTGAATTCACACTAAAAACATCCAGGGCTCTTTGTGTTGGTGTTTTGAAGGTATTGCGGACCTGCCAAGTCCCAAAAGGCCCAAAATTGAAGCAATTCTATGTCAAGTGCAAATGCTGGCCAGGCATGCACAAATGGAGATTGATTTCGCTGTCGAGACAGCAATTTTTGTGGCAGACCGATTTTCCAAATGCTGTTTCTTCCCTCAACTTGTAGTGTCCTGGAACCCACTTCTTTTCTTAGCACCCTAACTCGAGTTCTTTCTTGACCAGCTCTTAACATACGAAGTGGCAGTGTGAAATGTCAGTGAAAATCAGTGAAAAGGATGTTTTAGCGATAGCAAGGCCGATGGTTTCTTTCTCACCCAAGTATCACACGGTTCTTCCATGCCAGTGACAGCGCTGCGAAATGGTTGATAACATTTTAGTGAAACCCATGACAATGTTGCGAAAGCAATCGATGATAAGTCATGAAAAGGATGGCACGGTTGTGACATCGTTAATTAAATAATAATAATCAAAAAAAGTAATGGATAATAGTAGTAATGATAGTAATATATATATATTACATAAAGCCAATGACAATGTTGTGAGATCAAAACCCATCCTTGAAATAGACCATGTGACCACGCAGTGGATAACTTACATGCAATGAAGTCGTGACAATGAAAGCACAGTAAAGCTGCTGATTCGACAGCGCATTAGAGGGGCTCGAGCACCGCCTTAAGTGCCTGCACGTGGACCCTGATAATGAAAGGGATGCGCTCGTTCACCTCCAACCAAGAAGTGATTTCAGATACGCTATAGCCGCAAAGCAGAAGAGGCCATAGGGTCAATTCTATATTTTGTAGCCTCTGTTGCCAATCCAGTCAGCGTGGCCGCATTTGGGCAGGCAGGGGTAACAGAGTGGACGTCTCGATCAACCACCACTGCATCCAATGATGGGATGCTGGGCCATCACGCTCCATGTGACAGCCGAAAGCTAAGCACGCGAGAGCCACTGAACAAGGAGTTCTTGGGCATGGAGAGACAGAGATGTGTAGACAGTCCCGAGTATACGGCATACGTGTGGACAGTGGTTTTGCGCGCGCTATAGCGGAAAGGCATCGTTTCGATCCCCAAAAATGTGCTCTTCTCCCAGCACTCCAGCTCAAGTCCTTCAACAATCGCTTGAAGAATTGGAGTAGCAAGGACGCTACTGGGGGCTCCTGACATCGTGCTTGTCGCGCTCCCAGATGGCGACACAACGCTCGTACCCGGCGTGTGGCACTAGTGGAAGTCGCTACGAGTTCGCTGCGTTGCTCTTCATTGGACTGGACTAGTTCTGGCTGTCCGAGTTAATGAAGAGCGGTCTGTCCTCGTTTGTCTGAGCGTAGCCCTCGGTGCCCAAGTGCCAAACCAAGTTGGCAAGAGCAATGATGAGGGTGAACACGGAGAGAAACATGAAGTTGTAGCCGTCGAAGATTTCTGTGGTTGGTTGGTCTGCTTCTTATAGAGAGAGCGCTAGTCCAGAACCTCCATGCTGATCTGTTTGTCATTGTCTGTTTGGGGCACGGTCTCGCTCATGCAGCCATGTTGGCGTGAACTCCCGCCTTGTCTAGGAGCCTAGGCGAATGGAAAAGAATTTGTGCCCAAATGGTGGCACAACACTCTCTGCATTCGAACCCGAACTTGTACAGTGCGCGTGGTTCTGGTAGAACATTCACAAATCGTCATGAGATTTGAATATGCCTGCCAGGAAGAAGACGGGGCCGACCTACTGTCGAATTTGAGTCTTTGCTTGACTTGGCCTGCGTTTTGCTCAAATAACATCCAAGCCAGCAAACCCTGGACCTTCACAGGCGATGGCCCAAGATCATGTCCGTATTGTCGGCAGCCGTTGCACTCTGCTTTTGTTCACAAATCTGGACGATCGATCACGAGCCCTGGCTTATGGAAGCAGGACTTGGGTGAAATCGACGGGCCTTCGGCTTTTCGCCTCGGGCACATCTCCTAACCGTTTAACCCCACCACAAGATGCAGCTTTGCTACATCCGGAGGAGATTGTTAAGCTTAAAGATAAAAAGGCAATGCAAAATATTCTCACAAAAAAAACACAATGCCCTCAGCATCACTTTGGATCTCACCGCCTCAAGTGGACGAGCTTGCAAACGTCAACAGCCCCCCAACAAGAAAGAGTCTGCT